AGCATTGTAGAGGACATCACTCAACCCATCCTTGAACCAGCTTACCAGGATATCGTCTGGCCAGTTCACATGACATGCCAGGTCTCAGAATTTTTTGGTATACTCTGCCACTGACCGGCATCCCTGCTTTGTATAGAGCCGAGGTGGGGCAGTGGTTAGAGTGCTGTACTGCAGGCCATTTCAGCTGACTGTTATCTGCAGTTCAGTGGTTCTAATCTCACCGGCTCAAGGTTGACTCAGCCTTCCATCCTTCCGAGGTGGGTGAAATGAGGACCTAGACTGTGGGGGTGATATGCTTACTCTGTAAATTGCTTAGAGAGGGCTGAAAGCCCTATGAAGCGGTATATAAGTCTAACTGCTATTGCTATTCACAACTTTAATGCATTCAAGTGCTTTGCGGTCTGCGAGAGGGTCCTCGAACCGTCATCACAGGGCCATCATGAAGTCAAAGTCCCACAGTTCTGGTGCATCGGCATCATGTAAAGTCACCATCCATCTGGCAGCGGCTCCTTCCAGGGCTAGGGTGACCACTCGCACTTGGGCTCCTTGGCTTCGAAAATCACACCCATATTCTTGCATGTAGGTGAGGACGTGTGCCACAAAGAATCCCAATTTTTTCGGGTTCCCATCAAATTTTACCCCCAAGGAAGGAGTTTTCCTTTCTAACTGCAGGTTTCAGGGTTGGTTCGGAGTGGCCCCCAACCCATGCGCCAACTGGGGGGGGAGGTTTTTCTGGGTTCCTAGCTGTTGCTGCTGTGCCGTCAGCTTGATCAGCAGGGACCAGAGGGGACTAGTTCCCCTGGCATCACCTCTGTTTGCCACCCTTCCAATGCTTTTCGGTTGCCGGTCTGGCTCCCTGCAGATGTTGAGATTTTCCAAATTTTCTTTTTATTAAACATTTTTGAAAAAAAACCACAAACTTTTACAAATGTTTAGTTTATACAGGGTATAAATCTTTAACAAAGAGAATCTAAGATACAATTTAAGAAAAAAAGCCCCCAAAAGTTGGTGAACTCTAGCTCCTCCTTGCTGGACTAACTCTAAATAATTTATAATTCCTAATCTCTAATCGTAAGAGATTTTCCAAAATTTCTATCACCAAGTGGCTTACATGCCTCTTCAGAGGATCCTCTCTCAGTGCGGCTTCATTTAGCTCCTCCTGGTCAGAGGGGGCTTCTAACTCCAATTTGCACCCTGGTTTTCGGCTACCTCGGGTAAGAGTGATTCCCCTGGTCTTCCCTTCCCAGCCGTCTTTCGTCTTGATTCCGATTGACCAACGGGGCTTTTTGGGGTCCTCCAAGCTCACTCCGTTCTCTCTGCCAGGATACAAGGAGCAGGTCTCTGGTTGTGGAGGGGTTTCTATCTCCCTCCAGCAGTCAGTTTCCCCTTGTTCACTGTTATGCTCAGACATGGTTTGCTGGGTCCCCTCGGTAGAGTAAAATGTTGCCTCTCCTGGTTGACCACTTTGCAGAGAGATGCTGCTTTTTTGTAATGGCTCCTCTCCTCACTTGAGAAAGTAAAGGCTCTTAAAATGGATTATTTCAAAAGAAACCTTTAATCAAGCAGGATGGAAACCATTAGAAGCAAAGCAGCATCTGAAAACCTTTAGGC